AAAAAAAAATTTGGTTTAAAAAATTTTTGGAAAAAAATTTTGGTCAAAAAATTTTTGGTCAAAAAAATTTTAGGACAAAAAAATTTTTGGTCAAAAAATGTTGAGAAAAAAAATTTTTGGTCAAAAAAATTTTAGGACAAAAAAATTTTAGGAAAAAAAATTTTGGTCAAAAAAATTTTAGGACAAAAAAATTTGGTCAAAAAAATTTTTGGAAAAAACTTTAGTCAAAAAAATTTTGGTCAAAAAAATTTTTGGACAAAAAAATTTTGGTCGAAAAAATTTGATCAAAAAAGTTTTTGAAAAAAAACTTTTGGTCAAAAAAATTTTAAGACTTGGTCTCGGACCGAGACCAAGACCAAGACCGAGACCAAGACCGAGACCGAGGGGACCGAGGAGACCGAGGAGACCGAGGAGACCAAGACCGAGGAGACCGAGACCGAGGAAACCGAGACCGAGGAGACCGAGACCGAGACCAAGACCGAGATCAAGAGCGAGACCAAGACCAAGACCGAGACCGAGGAGACCGAGACCGAAGAGACCGAGACCGAGACCAAGACCGAGACCAAGACCGAGACCGAGGAGACCGAGACCGAGACCGAGACCGAGACCGAGACCAAGACCTAGACCGAGACCAAGACCAAGACCGAGACCAAGACCGAGACCGAGGAGACCGAGACCGAAGAGACCGAGACCGAGACCAAAACCGAGACCAAGACCGAGACCAAGACCAAGACCAAGACCAAGACCGAGGAGACCGAGACCGAAGAGACCGAGACCAAGACCGAGACCGAGAGCAAGAACGAGACCGAGGAGACCGAGACCGAGAAGACCGAGAAGACCGAGACCGAGACCGAGACCGAGACCAAGACCAAGACCAAGACCAAGACCAAGACCGAGACCAAGACCGAGACCGAGGAGACCAAGACCGAGACCGAGGAGACCGAGACCGAGACCAAGACCGAGACCAAGACAAAAGTAATTGCTAGCGCAAATCAAATATAAAAGCAGACGCATATGCGAATATGAATGCAAATGCAAGTGCAAAAGCAAATGCAAATGCAAATGCAAATGTATATGACATGCAAATGCAAACACGAATGCGAAGACAAATGTTAATGTAAACGCAAACGCTAAGGCAAAAGTAAATGCAAACGTAGATGCAGATGTAAACGCAAACTGCAATGCAATTGCGGGTGTAAATGCAAACACAAATGCAAATGTAAGTGCAAAAGCATTTCTAAATTTAAATGCAAACGTAAATGCAAATGTAGACTCAGTTTCAAACATAGTGGAAAGGCAAATGTTAATTTAAATGCAATCTCAAACGCGAATGCAAATATATATGGAAATACATACGCAATTGCAAATGCAAGCGCATATGCAACAGCTGACGCAACTACAAACGCGGACGTAAATGTTCCTGCAAACGCTGATGCAAATGAAGATGAAAACGACAATGCAATGTAAATGCAGACACAAACGCGGATGCGAGTGCAATCGCAAATGCAAATGTGAACGCAAATGCAAATGTGGATGGAAACGCAGTTGCAAACAGAATGCAAATGCCAATGCAAGTTCATAAGCGAACGCAAATGCCAATGCGAGTGTGAATACAAAGGCAAACATAGATAAAGATCAGATCCAAACTAAAATTTGAATGCCGGAACAAATGCGAATATAAATGCTAGCACAATGCAAATGAAAATGCAAAAAAGAATGCAAATGGAAATCAAACGTAACTACAACTGCAAATGCCAATGTAAACGCGATCGCATATGCAAATGCAAATGGGAATAAAAATGCAAACGCAAATTAAAATAAAAATGCAAACGTCTGCTTGATGAAAATGCAGATGCAAACACAAATGCAAAATGCAAATGTTAATGTAAATGCAAACGCAAATGCAAAAATAATTGCAAACGCGGAAGTAAATGTAGAAGCAAGTGCAGATGTAAATGCATATATAAATGCGAAAGCAAATGCCAAAGCAAATGCAAATGTAAATGCAAACACAAAGCAAATGTAAATGCAAATATACACGCAAATGTAAATCAAACGTGAAGGCAATTGCAAATGCCAAGGCAAATACAAATGCAAACGCCCATGCTACAGCCAACGTAATTGCAAACTCAAATGTAAATGTGCTTGCGAGCGCGATTGCAAATGTGAATGCGGATATAAATGCAAATATGAATTCAAAAGCAAATGCCAAAGCAAATGCAAATGTAAATGCAAACACAAAGCAAATGTAAATGCAAATATACACGCAAAAGTAAATCAAACGTGATAGCAATTGCAAATGCCAATGCAAATACAAATGCAAACGCCCATGCTATAGCCAACGTAATTGCAAACTCAAATGTAAATGTGCTTGCGAGCGCGATTGCAAATGTGAATGCGGATATAAACGCAAATATAAATGCAAATGTGAGTGTATATAAAAATAAAAACGCAAATGCATCTGCAAATTTAAACGCGAGGACAAACGCTGAAGTAAATGTAAATACAAAAGCAAATGCAAATGCAAATACAGATACAAGTGCAACTGCAAATGTAAGTGCCAGCGCAAACGCATATGCAAACGCAAACGCAAAAGCTAATATAAATGCAAAAGCAAATGTATATGTAAACACAAACGCAAAACCTAAAGGCAAATACAAGAGTAAATGCGAACGCAAGCGCAATTCTAAAAGCAACTCAAACGTAAACGCAAAACGCATATTCAACTGCAAATGTACATGTAAACGCGTAAGCAAATGTAAATGCAACTGCAAATGAAATCAAAACGCAAAACGCAAATGTAAATTCAAACGCGAATGCAAAGAAAAATGCAAAAACAAAAACGATCGTGTAAAAAACGCGAATGCAAATGCTAATGTAAATAAAATCGCAAATGCAAACACAAATGTCAATGCACATGCGAACGCAAACCTAAATGCAAACGTTAATGTAAATGTGAATACGAACGCGAATGCAGGTGCAAATACAAATGTAGATGCAAATGTAGAATCAAAAGTGACTGCAAATGTAAATGCAAATGCAAACGCAAACGCAAATGCTAATATAATTTCAAATGTAATAAATTTATCTTAAATGCAGATGCAAATGCCAACGTAAATTCAAGAGCGAATGCGAAAGTAATTGCTAATGCAAATGCAAACACAAAAGCACATGCAAATGCGAACATTAATGCATATTACATAATGCAAGCGCATAAGCAAACGCAAATGCAAATGCAAATGTAGGTAAAATAGCAAATGCGATTTTAAATGCGATCGCAAATGTAAATATAAATACAAGGGCGAATGCAAAATTAACTGCAAACGCAAATGCTAATATAAATGCAAAACCAAATACAAATGCAAATGCGAATGTAAATGCAAACGCTAATGGATGCAAATGCAGATGTAAGTGCAACTGCAAATGTAAACGCAAACATAAATGCAAAACTAAAAGGCAAATACAAATATACATACGAACGCAAGCGCAATTCTAAACGCAAACACAAACGTAAACGCAAAATGTAAATTCAACTGAAGATGCAACTGCAAATATAAATGCAAACGCATAACGCAAATGCAAATTCAAACGCGAACGCGAAGATAAATGCAATTGTTAATGAAAACGCAAATGCAAATGCAAATGTAAATAAAATCGCAAATGAAAATACAAATGCAAAAACAAATGTTAATGTACATGCAAACGCAAACGTTAATGTAAATGAAAATACGAACGCAAATGCATACGCAAATGTTAAAGCAAACTTTCGTTCAAAATTCAGGTTCGATCAAAATTGACGTTCGTACAAAATTTACGTGCATATATGTATGCAAACGCAAGTGCGTAGGCAAATACAAATAAATATGTAAGTGAGAAAGCAAATGCAAATGTAACTACGAGCTCGAATGCAAATGCAAATGTAGACGCAAACTTGACTGCAAAAGTAAATGCATATGCGATTTTATTCATATTTACATTTTTCATTTGCATTTGCATTCGCTTTTTCATGCTTTTCATGCTTAACTGCTTTTGTTTTGCATTTACATTTGCTTAGGCTTTTACATTTACATTTGCAGTTGCATTTGCACTTGGATTTGCGTTATGCATTTACATTTGCATACATTTCCATATTTGCATTTACATTTGCGTTTGCATTCACATTTACATCCGCGTTTGCATTGGCGTTTGCATTTGCATTTACATTGGCGTTTGCATTTGCATTTGCCTTTGTATTTGTGTTTACATTTGCGCTTGCTATTACATTTACTTTCGCGTTTGCGGCTACTTTTGCATATGCGTTTGCATTTACATTAACATTTGCCTTTGCATTTGTGTTTGCATCTGCATTTTCATTTATATTTACCTTTGCATGTGCATTTGCGTTTGCATTTGCATATGCGATTGAATTTATATTCGCATCCGCGTTTGCGATCTATGCCTTTACTTTTGCACTTATATTTGCATTTGGGTCTGCATTTATAATCGCATTTGCATTTGCAATTAATTTTGCATTTACATTTGCACTTGCTATCGCCTTTAAAATACATTTGGAATTACGTTTGCATTCGCGTTTGCGTTTGCATTTGAATTAACATTCGCTTTTGCATTCTGTTTGCAACTGCGTTTTTATTCGCATTCACATTTGCATTTGCGTTTGCAAGCGCAACCGCGTTTGCGTTCCATTTACATTGCATTGGCGTTTTCATCTTAATTTGCATCCGCATTTGCAGGCACATTTACATCTGTGTTTATAATTACGTTAGATGTTACGTGTTTGCACTTGCATCTGCATTTTTGTTTGCATTTCCACCCGCATTTGCATTGCAGTTTGCGTTTACATCTGCATCTGCATGTGCATTTTCATTTGCTCTTGCGTTTGTATTTACATCGACATTTGCCTTTGCATTCGTGTTTGCATTTGTATTTTTATCTACATTTGCATATGCATTTGCGTCTTCTCTTATGTTCGCATTTGCATTAACGATTACTTTTGCATCCGCTCTTGAATTTACATCAGCATTTGCGTCTGCATTTAAAATATGCTATTAAATTCGCATTTGCGTTTGCGTTAGCATTGGCATTTGTATTTGTGTTTCCATTTGCATTTACAATTACAGTCACGTTTGCTTCTACATTTGTATTTGCAACTGCATTTGCATTTGCATTTACATTTGCAACCACGTTTATCTACATATTCATTTGCATCCACGTTCGTATTTACATTTGCATTTGCTTTCTCACATTTCCATTTGCTTTCTCACATTTGCATTTGAATTTGCGTTTGTATTCACGTTTGCAGTTGTATTTACAGCGCTTGATTTTACATTTGCTTCCGCGTTTGCAGTAACTTTTGCTTTTGCGTTTGCATTTATATTGATATTTGCCTTTGCATTTGTGTTTGCCTCTGCGTTTTCATCTACGTTTGCATACGCATTTGCATACGCATTTGCATTTGCGATTGCATTTACATTCGCATCCGCGTTTGCAATCACGTATGCTTTTGCGTTTGTAGTTACGTTAGTTGTGGCCTTTGTTTTTGCACTTGCATTAGCACTTACATTTGCATTTGCATCTGCATTAATATTTGCATTTGGATTGGCAACTGATTTTGCAATTATGATACATTTGCATTTGCATTTACTTTTCATTTGCGTTTACACCTGCATCCGCGTTTGCGTACGTATTTACATTAACATTTGCATTGCATTTGCATAGAATTTGCGATTTTATCTACATTTGCATACGCGCTTGAGGGCACATTTACATCTGTGTTTATAATTAAGCCAGCTGTTGCATATACGCTTGCATTTGCGTTTGCAATTGTAATAGCATTCGCGTCTGTGTTTGCATGTAAATTGAAATGAGTTTACATATGCTTTTATATCTAGAAGTCGGTCTTACCTGCAGGTGCATTTGTGTTTGCATCCGCATTTGCATTGCAGTTTGCGTTTACATCCACATCTACCTTTGCATCTACATGGCTTGCGTTTATATCAATTCATATTGCGCATTTGCATCGCATTTGCGTTTGCAATTAATACTGCTTTCGCCGTTGCATTTACATTCCAATATGCGTTTGCATTTAACACTAGAAAGACGGACGCAGTCATTTTGACTGTTTTCCATTTTCAAACATAAAAATAACTACGTATTTGAAGTCGCAGCTTCGTGAAATTTTTTGACTTTTTATACAACATATAAATGCGTAGATAAATCGTATTATTTGCTTTATCTCACTTTTATTTTCAATATTCTTACATGTTATGCCTGCATGGACGGAAAACAGTCATTTTGACTGTTATAGAAATTTTACATTACAAACGGCTTTGTTATTGTATTGCAAATCGTTATCTCGCGTGCATTCATCTCCAATATGCGATAATGCATTTGTTATATAAGAATAACCGAATTTTGGCAAGTATTGACATTAGACCGTTCTTTTTCACGTGGTAACTTTCAGTATAACGCGTTGTTCAGATGATTTTTTAGAACTTATAAATAAAATGTCGAAGAGAAGTGAATTATTGCAAAAGCTAACAAACATAAGTGAAGAGTGTTCCGACATAGAATCAAATGCAGAAAATTGGGCACAATCATCAGAAGATGAATCGGATTATATTCCACGTGAATCATCTAATTCTGAGGGTAGCGATAAAGGTGATCACTATTGATGAAAATGAAAGTGCCATCAGTGTATGCAGGAGGGTGCTAAGTGGCTCAGGAACTGATGAAAGATTTCAAGAAACGAAAACCTCTCTCGATGGTACTGTATGGACCAAAATTGCCGAAGGTGGTACCTCAGGAAGGTCATCATCTGTGTTTTCAAGGGTGTGAAAGGGCCAACGAGCTTTGCAAAAAAGAATATTATTACAGGTGATCTTGTCAGTGCATTTTCATTGATAATAGATAATTATATTATCAAACACATAAAACAGTGCACAGAAGAAGAGGGCAGTCAAATTTTGGGGTACGATTGGACAACATCGTTACCGAAAATACGTGATTTTACTGGAATTTTATATGCTCGTGGGGCCTATGAGGCAAAAAATTTGAAATTGACTTATTTATGGTCAGCAAAGAAAACATGACAGATCAAAGGTAAAGAAAATATACCGTGAAATCCAGTTCACGTAGATGACCCCTGCAAATATTTTTCAATATTTTGGATTTGGCTGCGATAAATGCCTGGATTCTTTACAAAGAAGCGACAAGAATAAAAATCCAAAGAAAACAAATCCTTAGAGAACAGTTTTTGTTTGAATTGGCAGATCAGCTTTCTGCGGACTACACGACATCAACACAAAAAAATCAAAGAAAAATGATGACCCACAGACATCATGCAAATACCAGTAGTAATAAAAGAAAATTTTGCCAAATAAGACTTTGTAATAATAATAAAACTAATAATACGTGTCAAAGTTGCAACAAACATGTTTCCGGAAAATGTACTCATAATAAAAAGATCTCAAATTATATTTGCATGAATTGTAAAAATAATGAACTTTTTTTTCAGATGTACTATTTTTTTATTTTTAGCACACATAGATAATTTGTATAAATGTAAATAGTACATGAAATATTAAAAATTAATTTTAAACAAATTTCTAAACGCATTATTTATTTTTTTCACGACGCAGTCATTTTGACTGTTTTCAGGCAATGTAGGTATACTCAATTCGTCCGTCTTTCTAGTGTTAAAATACATTTATTACTTTTGCCACATCTTCAGAATTTACATCAGCATTTGCATTTAAAATAAATTTTAGTTTTTACATTTGCATTTGCGTTTACATTCACATTTGCATTCGCATTTGCGAGCAGATTTACATTTTTGTTTGTAATTACGTTAGCTGTTGCACAGGCCTATGCCTTTGCATTCACATGGGCATTTTCATTTGCAATCACATTCGATTTGCATTTGCTTAGACTTACAGTCGCATTTGCTTTAGCATTTACATTTGCGTTTGCATTTACATTTGCATTTGCGCTGCTATTTAAATTTATACTTGCATTCGCGTTTGCGTCTACAGTTGGATTTGCGCTTGCGTTTGCTATTAAATTTGCATCCGCTTTTACATTTGTATTTGCACTTGCATTTGCATTTACTTTTGCATTTGTTATTGCATTCGCATTTACATTTGCATTTGCGTTTTCATCTACATCTGTATTTGCGTTTATAAGATATATAGATAAAAACGCAAATACAAACACAATGCAAAAGCGAATGTTGATGTAAATACGGAGGCAAACGCAAATGTAAAAGTGAATGTAGACCAGAATATAAATGCAAACGCAAATAAATATGTAAATACAAACGCAAATGCAAATGTAAATGTTGATGTAAATGTGAACGCAAACGCAGATGTGAATGCAAACGCAAACGCAAATATAAATGCAAATGCAATCGTAGATAAAAACGCAATTGCAAACAGTATGCAAAGGCAAATGTAAATTTAAATTCAAGGGCAAACGCGAATGCAAATGTATTTTAAATGCAATCGCAAATGCAAATCTAAAGGCAAGGACAAATGCAAAAGCGATTGCAAACGCGAATGCTGATATAAGAGCAAATGCAAACGCACCTGACGTGATTGCAAAATACAAATGCCAATGCAAAAGCAAATGCAAATGCAACTGTGGGTGAAAATGCAAAAGCAAACACAAATGCAAAGACAAATGTTAATGTAAATGCAAAGGCAAGCACAAATGTAAATGCAAATGCAAATGCAGATTTAAATGCGAACGCAAATGCTTATGTATACGCAAGCGCAAATGCAAAATGTGATTGCAATCAAAAATGCAAATGACATTGCGAAAGCAAACGCAAATGCAAGTACAAGTGCTAACGCAAATTTTATTGTAATGTACGGAACTGCAAAAGTAATATGGCTGAAAACGCGTGTGCGAATTTCAGTGCAATTCAAACATGACTCCAAATGTAAATGCAAACGCATTTATAGCTAACGTTATAACAATCGCAAATGAAAATGTCGTTTCAAGCGGAAATACAAATGCAAATGCAAATGCTAATTTAATTGCAAACGTGAATGCAAACGCAAATGTAGATGCAAATGTAAATGAAAAGGCAAATGCAAATAAAAATGCAAGCGCGAATCTTAAAGTAAATGCAATCGTAGATGCAAATGTACGCAAATATAAGCGCAAATGTAAGTGCAAACGCAAGTGCTATAGTAAACACGGATCAAATGTGACCGGAAAAGCAGATGAAAATGCACACGCAAATGCAAATAAAAATTCAAAAGCAAGTGCAAATGTAAACGCAAACGCAATTGCAAATACTAATGCATTTGCAACTGTTATTGTCAATGCAAACGCAAGTGCATATGTGGGTGTAAGAGCAATTGCTTAAGTAACTGCAAATGAAAAGCTGACGTAATAACCTGCAATGCACATATGATTGCAAACGTAAATTCAAACGAAAGTGCATATGTAAAGGCAAACGCAAATGCAAACATAAATACATTAGCAAATGCAAATGTAAATGCATGCGCAAATGCAAATGCAAATGCAAATGTAAATGAGAACGCAAATGCAAAAATAAATGCAAAAGCAAGTTTTGTTTTATTTGCAGACTGCAAATGTAAATGCAAATGCTGATGAAAATGCAAATGCCTTTGCAAATGCATGTGTAAATACGAATGCAATCACAAACGCAAATACAAATGGAATTGCAAATGTAAATGCAAGCGCAAATGTAAATGCAATTGCAAACGCGAATGTTATTTTATATGCCATCGCAAATTCAAATGTAAATGCGTGAGCGAATGGAAACATTATTGCAATCGCAAAAGCAAATATGAATGCAAATGCAAATGCGAAAACAAAAGCATTCGCAACAACTAACGTAACTACAAACACAAATGCAACTTTCATTGCAAACGCGAATGCAAATGTAAATGCAATCGCAAATGAAAATGCAAATGCAAACGCGAATGCAAAAGCAAGTGTGGATGAGGATGCAAATGCAAACAAAAATGCAATGGCAAATGTTAATGTAAATGCAAACGCAAATGCAGATGCTTATGTAATTGCAAACTTATAGGCAAATGTAATCACAAACACGGATGCAAATGTAAAAGCAAGCGCAAATGTCAATACAAATGTGAATGCAAACGCAAGTGCAAATGTTTATGTAAAGTCTGACAGTGTAGAAGCAATTATAAATGCAAATGTGAATGCAACCGCAAATGCAAATGCAAACGCAAATGCAAATATAAATGCAGACGCGAATTCAAATATGTATGCAAATAAGAATGTAAGTAAGAACGCAAATGCAAATGTAAATACAAACGCAATCGCAAATGCAAATGCAGATATAAAGGTGGCTGCACATGTAAATGCAAACGTAAATGCAAAGGCGAACGCAAATGTTATTTTAAATGCAATTGCAAATTCAAATGTAAATACGAGAGCGAATGCAAAAGTAATTGCACTGAAAATACAAATGCATTTGCAACTGTTATTGTCAATGCAAACGCAAGTGCAAATGTGGGTGTAAGAGCAAATAACAAGTGCAATGCACACATGATTGCAAACGTAAATTCAAACGAAAGGGCATATGTAAAGGCAAACGCAAATGCAAACATAAGTACAATATTAAATGCAAATGAAAATACGAAAGCAAATGCAAATCAAATTTAGATGCAAACGTGACCGCAAATATAAATTCAAATCCAAATACAAATATAAATGCAAATGTAATTACGAATGCGAACGCAAACGCGATTGCAAATGTAATTGCAAATGTAATAAATGTATTTCAAACACAAATACAAATGCTGACATAAATTCAAATACGAATGCAAAAGTAATTGCTTACGCAAATGCAAACATAAGCAGACGCAAATGCGAATATGAATGAAAATGCAAGTGCAAAAGCAAACGCATTTGCAAAAGCTGACTTAGCTACAAACGCAGAGGCAATTGTGATTGCAAGTCCGGATGCGAATGTACATGCAATTGCAAATGCGCATGTAAACATGAAAGCAAGCGAAAATGCAAATGTAGATGAAAATGCAAATGCTAACACGAATGCAAAGGCAAATGTTAATTCAAAAGCAAACGCAAACGCGAATGCGAATGTAGATACAAATACATGTGCATTTGCATTTGCATTTGCAAATGCACATGTATTTGTATCTACATTCGCATTCGCGTTTGCGTTTGCTTTTGAATTAACATTTGCCTTTGCATTCGTGTTAGCATTTGCATTTTCATCTACATTTGCATTTTCGCTTGCTTTCATGTTTACATGCGCATTTGCAATTGCATGTACATTCGCATCCGGACTTGCAATCACAATTGCCTCTGCGTTTGTAGCTAAGTCAGCTTTTGCAAATGCGTTTGCTTTTGCACTTGCATTTTCATTCATATTCGCATTTGCGTCTGCTTATGTTTGCATTTGCGTAAGCAATTACTTTTGCATTCGTATTTGAATTTATGTCAGCATTTGTATTTGTGTTTGAAATACATTTATTACATTTGCAATTACATTTGCAATCGCGTTTGCGTTCGCATTCGTAATTACATTTGCATTTATATTTGTATTTGGATTTGAATTTATATTTGCGGTCACGTTTGCATCTAAATTTGATTTGCATTTGCTTTCGTATTTTCATTTGCATTTAATATTGTACTTATGTTTGCATTTGCGTTTGCCTTTACATATGCCCTTTCGTTTGAATTTACGTTTGCAATCATGTGTGCATTGCACTTGTTATTTGCTCTTACACCCACATTTGCACTTGCGTTTGCATTGACAATAACAGTTGCAAATGCATTTGTATTTTCAGTGCAATTACTTTTGCATTCGCTCTCGTATTTACATTTGAATTTGCAATTGCATTTAAAATAACATTTGCGTTCGCCTTTGCATTTACGTTTGCATTTACATGTGCAGCCACCTTTATATCTGCATTTGCATTTGCGATTGCGTTTGTATTTACATTTGCATTTGCGTTCTTACTTACATTCTTATTTGCATACATATTTGAATTCGCGTCTGCATTTATATTTGCATTTGCGTTTGCATTTGCATTTGCGGTTGCATTCACATTTGCATTTATAATTGCTTCTACACTGTCAGACTTTACATAAACATTTGCACTTGCGTTTGCATTCACATTTGTATTGACATTTGCGCTTGCTTTTACATTTGCATCCGTGTTTGTGATTACATTTGCCTATAAGTTTGCAATTACATAAGCATCTGCATTTGCGTTTGCATTTACATTAACATTTGCCATTGCATTTTTGTTTGCATTTGCATCCTCATCCACACTTGCTTTTGCATTCGCGTTTGCATTTGCATTTTCATTTGCGATTGCATTTACATTTGCATTCGCGTTTGCAATGAAAGTTGCATTTGTGTTTGTAGTTACGTTAGTTGTTGCGAATGCTTTTGTTTTCGCATTTGCATTTGCATTCATATTTGCTTTTGCGATTGCAATAATGTTTCCATTCGCTCACGCATTTACATTTGAATTTGCGATGGCATATAAAATAACATTCGCGTTTGCAATTGCATTTACATTTGCGCTTGCATTTACATTTGCAATTCCATTTGTATTTGCGTTTGTGATTGCATTCGTATTTACACATGCATTTGCAAAGGCATTTGCATTTTCATCAGCATTTGCATTTACATTTGCAGTCTGCAAATAAAACAAAACTTGCTTTTGCATTTATTTTTGCATTTGCGTTCTCATTTACATTTGCATTTGCATTTGCATTTGCGCATGCATTTACATTTGCATTTGCTAATGTATTTATGTTTGCATTTGCGTTTGCCTTTACATATGCACTTTCGTTTGAATTTACGTTTGCAATCATATGTGCATTGCAGGTTATTACGTCAGCTTTTCATTTGCAGTTACTTAAGCAATTGCTCTTACACCCACATATGCACTTGCGTTTGCATTGACAATAACAGTTGCAAATGCATTAGTATTTGCAATTGCGTTTGCGTTTACATTTGCACTTGCTTTTGAATTTTTATTTGCATTTGCGTGTGCATTTTCATCTGCTTTTCCGGTCACATTTGATCCGTGTTTACTATAGCACTTGCGTTTGCACTTACATTTGCGCTTATATTTGCGTACATTTGCATCTACGATTGCATTTACTTTAAGATTCGCGCTTGCATTTTTATTTGCATTTGCCTTTTCATTTACATTTGCATCTACATTTGCGTTTGCATTCACGTTTGCAATTAAATTAGCATTTGCATTTGCATTTGTATTTCCGCTTGAAACGACATTTTCATTTGCGATTGTTATAACGTTAGCTATAAATGCGTTTGCATTTACATTTGGAGTCATGTTTGAATTGCACTGAAATTCGCACACGCGTTTTCAGCCATATTACTTTTGCAGTTCCGTACATTACAATAAAATTTGCGTTAGCACTTGTACTTGCATTTGCGTTTGCTTTCGCAATGTCATTTGCATTTTTGATTGCAATCACATTTTGCATTTGCGCTTGCGTATACATAAGCATTTGCGTTCGCATTTAAATCTGCATTTGCATTTGCATTTACATTTGTGCTTGCCTTTGCATTTACATTAACATTTGTCTTTGCATTTGTGTTTGCTTTTGCATTTTCACCCACAGTTGCATTTGCATTTGCTTTTGCATTGGCATTTGTATTTTGCAATCACGTCAGGTGCGTTTGCATTTGCTCTTATATCAGCATTCGCGTTTGCAATCGCTTTTGCATTTGTCCTTGCCTTTAGATTTGCATTTGCGATTGCATTTAAAATACATTTGCATTCGCGTTTGCCCTTGAATTTAAATTTACATTTGCCTTTGCATACTGTTTGCAATTGCGTTTTTATCTACGATTGCATTTGCATTTATATTTGCGTTTGCGTTTGCATTCACATCTGCGTTTGCGTTCACATTTACATCAACATTTACATTTGCATTTGCGTTTGTATTTACATATTTATTTGCGTTTGCATTTATATTCTGGTCTACATTCACTTTTACATTTGCGTTTGCCTCCGTATTTACATCAACATTCGCTTTTGCATTGTGTTTGTATTTGCGTTTTTATCTATATATCTTATAAACGCAAATACAGATGTAGATGAAAACGCAAATGCAAATGTAAATGCGAATGCAATAACAAATGCAAAAGTAAATGCAAATGCAAGTGCAAATACAAATGTAAAAGCGGATGCAAATTTAATAGCAAACGCAAGCGCAAATCCAACTGTAGACGCAAACGCGAATGCAAGTATAAATTTAAATAGCAGCGCAAATGCAAATGTAAATGCAAACGCAAATGTAAATGCTAAAGCAAATGCGACTGTAAGTCTAAGCAAATGCAAATCGAATGTGATTGCAAATGAAAATGCCCATGTGAATGCAAAGGCATAGGCCTGTGCAACAGCTAACGTAATTACAAACAAAAATGTAAATCTGCTCGCAAATGCGAATGCAAATGTGAATGTAAACGCAAATGCAAATGTAAAAACTAAAATTTATTTTAAATGCAAATGCTGATGTAAATTCTGAAGATGTGGCAAAAGTAATAAATGTATTTTAACACTAGAAAGACGGACGAATTGAGTATACCTACATTGCCTGAAAACAGTCAAAATGACTGCGTCGTGAAAAAAATAAATAATGCGTTTAGAAATTTGTTTAAAATTAATTTTTAATATTTCATGTACTATTTACATTTATACAAATTATCTATGTGTGCTAAAAATAAAAAAATAGTACATCTGAAAAAAAAGTTCATTATTTTTACAATTCATGCAAATATAATTTGAGATCTTTTTATTATGAGTACATTTTCCGGAAACATGTTTGTTGCAACTTTGACACGTATTATTAGTTTTATTATTATTACAAAGTCTTATTTGGCAAAATTTTCTTTTATTACTACTGGTATTTGCATGATGTCTGTGGGTCATCATTTTTCTTTGATTTTTTTGTGTTGATGTCGTGTAGTCCGCAGAAAGCTGATCTGCCAATTCAAACAAAAACTGTTCTCTAAGGATTTGTTTTCTTTGGATTTTTATTCTTGTCGCTTCTTTGTAAAGAATCCAGGCATTTATCGCAGCCAAATCCAAAATATTGAAAAATATTTGCAGGGGTCATCTACGTGAACTGGATTTCACGGTATATTTTCTTTACCTTTGATCTGTCATGTTTTCTTTGCTGACCATAAATAAGTCAATTTCAAATTTTTTGCCTCATAGGCCCCACGAGCATATAAAATTCCAGTAAAATCACGTATTTTCGGTAACGATGTTGTCCAATCGTACCCCAAAATTTGACTGCCCTCTTCTTCTGTGCACTGTTTTATGTGTTTGATAATATAATTATCTATTATCAATGAAAATGCACTGACAAGATCACCTGTAATAATATTCTTTTTTGCAAAGCTCGTTGGCCCTTTCACACCCTTGAAAACACAGATGATGACCTTCCTGAGGTACCACCTTCGGCAATTTTGGTCCATACAGTACCATCGAGAGAGGTTTTCGTTTCTTGAAATCTTTCATCAGTTCCTGAGCCACTTAGCACCCTCCTGCATACACTGATGGCACTTTCATTTTCATCAATAGTGATCACCTTTATCGCTACCCTCAGAATTAGATGATTCACGTGGAATATAATCCGATTCATCTTCTGATGATTGTGCCCAATTTTCTGCATTTGATTCTATGTCGGAACACTCTTCACTTATGTTTGTTAGCTTTTGCAATAATTCACTTCTCTTCGACATTTTATTTATAAGTTCTAAAAAATCATCTGAACAACGCGTTATACTGAAAGTTACTACGTGAAAAAGAACGGTCTAATGTCAATACTTACCAAAATTCGGTTATTCTTATATAACAAATGCATTATCGCATATTGGAGATGAATGCACGCGAGATAACGATTTGCAATACAATAACAAAGCCGTTTGTAATGTAAAATTTCTATAACAGTCAAAATGACTGTTTTCCGTCCATGCAGGCAAAACATGTAAGAATATTGAAAATAAAAGTGAGATAAAGCAAATAATACGATTTATCTACGCATTTATATGTTGTATAAAAAGTCAAAAAATTTCACGAAGCTGCGACTTCAAATACGTAGTTGTTTTTATGTTTGAAAATGGAAAACAGTCAAAATGACTGCGTCCGTCTTTCTAGTGTTAAATGCAATCGCATATTGGAATGTAAATGCAACGGCGAAAGCAGTATTAATTGCAAACGCAAATGCGATGCAAATGCGCAATATGAATTGATATAAACGCAAGCCATGTAGATGCAAAGGTAGATGTGGATGTAAACGCAAACTGCAATGCAAATGCGGATGCAAACACAAATGCACCTGCAGGTAAGACCGACTTCTAGATATAAAAGCATATGTAAACTCATTTCAATTTACATGCAAACACAGACGCGAATGCTATTACAATTGCAAACGCAAATGCAAGCGTATATGCAACAGCTGGCTTAATTATAAACACAGATGTAAATGTGCCCTCAAGCGCGTATGCAAATGTAGATAAAATCGCAAATTCTATGCAAATGCATTTATATTTATATTTGCATTTGCGTTTGCATTTGCATTTGCGGTTGCATTCACATTTGCATTTATAATTGCTTCTACACTGTCAGACTTTACATAAACATTTGCACTTGCTTTTGCATTCACATTTGTATTGACATTTGCGCTTGCTTTTACATTTGCATCCGTGTTTGTGATTACATTTGCCTATAAGTTTGCAATTACATAAGCATCTGCATTTGCGTTTGCATTTACATTAACATTTGCCATTGCATTTTTGTTTGCATTTGCATCCTCATCCGCACTTGCTTTTGCATTCGCGTTTGCATTTGCATTTTCATTTGCGATTGCATTTACATTTGCATTCGCGTTTGCAATGAAAGTTGCATTTGTGTTTGTAGTTACGTTAGTTGTTGCGAATGCTTTTGTTTTCGCATTTGCATTTGCATTCATATTTGCTTTTGCGATTGCAATAATGTTTCCATTCGCTCACGCATTTACATTTGAATTTGCGATGGCATATAAAATAACATTCGCGTTTGCAATTGCATTTACATTTGCGCTTGCATTTACATTTGCAATTCCATTTGTATTTGCGTTTGTGATTGCATTCGTATTTACACATGCATTTGCAAAGGCATTTGCATTTTCATCAGCATTTGCATTTACATTTGCAGTCTGCAAATAAAACAAAACTTGCTTTTGCATTTATTTTTGCATTTGCGTTCTCATTTACATTTGCATTTGCATTTGCATTTGCGCATGCATTTACATTTGCATTTGCTAATGTATTTATGTTTGCATTTGCGTTTGCCTTTACATATGCACTTTCGTTTGAATTTACGTTTGCAATCATATGTGCATTGCAGGTTATTACGTCAGCTTTTCATTTGCAGTTACTTAAGCAATTGCTCTTAAACCCACATATGCACTTGCGTTTGCATTGACAATAACAGTTGCAAATGCATTAGTATTTGCAATTGCGTTTGCGTTTACATTTGCACTTGCTTTTGAATTTTTATTTGCATTTGCGTGTGCATTTTCATCTGCTTTTCCGGTCACATTTGATCCGTGTTTACTATAGCACTTGCGTTTGCACTTACATTTGCGCTTATATTTGCGTACATTTGCATTTACTTTAAGATTCGCGCTTGCATTTTTATTTGCATTTGCCTTTTCATTTACATTTGCATCTACATTTGCGTTTGCATTCACGTTTGCAATTAAATTAGCATTTGCATTTGCATTTGTATTTCCGCTTGAAACGACATTTTCATTTGCGATTGTTATAACGTTAGCTATAAATGCGTTTGCATTTACATTTGGAGTCATGTTTGAATTGCACTGAAATTCGCACACGCGTTTTCTGCCATATTACTTTTGCAGTTCCGTACATTACAATAAAATTTGCGTTAGCACTTGTACTTGCATTTGCGTTTGCTTTCGCAATGTCATTTGCATTTTTGATTGCCATCACATTTTGCATTTGCGCTTGCGTATACATAAGCATTTGCGTTCGCATTTAAATCTGCATTTGCATTTGCATTTACATTTGTGCTTGCCTTTGCATTTACATTAACATTTGTCTTTGCATTGGTGTTTGCTTTTGCATTTTCACCCACAGTTGCATTTGCATTTGCTTTTGCATTGGCATTTGTATTTTGCAATCACGTCAGGTGCGTTTGCATTTGCTTTTATATCAGCATTCGCGTTTGCAATCGCCTTTGCATTTGTCCTTGCCTTTAGATTTGCATTTGCGATTGCATTTAAAATACATTTGCATTCGCGTTTGCCCTTGAATTTAAATTTACATTTGCCTTTGCATACTGTTTGCAATTGCGTTTTTATCTACGATTGCATTTGCATTTATATTTGCGTTTGCGTTTGCATTCACATCTGCGTTTGCGTTCACATTTACATCAACATTTACATTTGCATTTGCGTTTGTATTTACATATTTATTTGCGTTTGCATTTATATTCTGGTCTACATTCACTTTTACATTTGCGTTTGCCTCCGTATTTACATCAACATTCGCTTTTGCATTGTGTTTGCATTTGCGTTTCTATCTATATATCTTATAAACGCAAATACAGATGTAGATGAAAACGCAAATGCAAATGTAAATGCGAATGCAATAACAAATGCAAAAGTAAATGCAAATGCAAGTGCAAATACAAATGTAAAAGCGGATGCAAATTTAATAGCAAACGCAAGCGCAAATCCAACTGTAGACGCAAACGCGAATGCAAGTATAAATTTAAATAGCAGCGCAAATGCAAATGTAAATGCAAACGCAAATGCAAAATGCAAATGTAAATGCTAAAGCAAATGCGACTGTAAGTCTAAGCAAATGCAAATCGAATGTGATTGCAAATGAAAATGCCGATGTGAATGCAAAGGCATAGGCCTGTGCAACAGCTAACGTAATTACAAACAAAAATGTAAATCTGCTCGCAAATGCGAATGCAAATGTGAATGTAAACGCAAATGCAAATGTAAAAACTAAAATTTATTTTAAATGCAAATGCTGATGTAAATTCTGAAAATGTGGCAAAAGTAATAAATGTATTTACGGACGAATTGAGTATACCTACATTGCCTGAAAACAGTCAAAATGACTGCGTCGTGAAAAAAATAAATAATGCGTTTAGAAATTTGTTTAAAATTAATTTTTAATATTTCATGTACTATTTACATCTATACAAATTATCTATGAGTGCTAAAAATAAAAAAATAGTACATCTGAAAAAAAAGTTCATTATTTTTACAATTCATGCAAATATAATTTGAGATCTTTTTATTATGAGTACATTTTCCGGAAACATGTTTGTTGCAACTTTGACACGTATTATTAGTTTTATTATTATTACAAAGTCTTATTTGGCAAAATTTTCTTTTATTACTACTGGTATTTGCATGATGTCTGTGGGTCATCATTTTTCTTTGATTTTTTTGTGTTGATGTCGTGTAGTCCGCAGAAAGCTGATCTGCCAATTCAAACAAAAACTGTTCTCTAAGGATTTGTTTTCTTTGGATTTTTATTCTTGTCGCTTCTTTGTAAAGAATCCAGGCATTTATCGCAGCCAAATCCAAAATATTGAAAAATATTTGCAGGGGTCATCTACGTGAACTGGATTTCACGGTATATTTTCTTTACCTTTGATCTGTCATGTTTTCTTTGCTGACCATAAATAAGTCAATTTCAAATTTTTTGCCTCATAGGCCCCACGAGCATATAAAATTCCAGTAAAATCACGTATTTTCGGTAACGATGTTGTCCAATCGTACCCCAAAATTTGACTGCCCTCTTCTTCTGTGCACTGTTTTATGTGTTTGATAATATAATTATCTATTATCAATGAAAATGCACTGACAAGATCACCTGTAATAATATTCACCCTTGAAAACACAGATGATGACCTTCCTGAGGTACCACCTTCGGCAATTTTGGTCCATACAGTACCATCGAGAGAGGTTTTCGTTTCTTGAAATCTTTCATCAGTTCCTGAGCCACTTAGCACCCTCCTGCATACACTGATGGCACTTTCATTTTCATCAATAGTGATCACCTTTATCGCTACCCTCAGAATTAGATGATTCACGTGGAATATAATCCGATTCATCTTCTGATGATTGTGCCCAATTTTCTGCATTTGATTCTATGTCGGAACACTCTTCACTTATGTTTGTTAGCTTTTGCAATAATTCACTTCTCTTCGACATTTTATTTATAAGTTCTAAAAAATCATCTGAACAACGCGTTATACTGAAAGTTACCACGTGAAAAAGAACGGTCTAATGTCAATACTTGCCAAAATTCGGTTATTCTTATATAACAAATGCATTATCGCATATTGGAGATGAATGCACGCGAGATAACGATTTGCAATACAATAACAAAGCCGTTTGTAATGTAAAATTTCTATAACAGTCAAAATGACTGTTTTCCGTCCATGCAGGCATAACATGTAAGAATATTGAAAATAAAAGTGAGATAAAGCAAATAATACGATTTATCTACGCATTTATATGTTGTATAAAAAGTCAAAAAATTTCACGAAGCTGCGACTTCAAATACGTAGTTATTTTTATGTTTGAAAATGGAAAACAGTCAAAATGACTGCGTCCGTCTTTCTAGTGTTAAATGCAAACGCATATTGGAATGTAAATGCAACGGCGAAAGCAGTATTAATTGCAAACGCAAATGCGATGCAAATGCGCAATATGAATTGATATAAACGCAAGCCATGTAGATGCAAAGGTAGATGTGGATGTAAACGCAAACTGCAATGCAAATGCGGATGCAAACACAAATGCACCTGCAGGTAAGACCGACTTCTAGATATAAAAGCATATGTAAACTCATTTCAATTTACATGCAAACACAGACGCGAATGCTATTACAATTGCAAACGCAAATGCAAGCGTATATGCAACAGCTGGCTTAATTATAAACACAGATGTAAATGTGCCCTCAAGCGCGTATGCAAATGTAGATAAAATCGCAAATTCTATGCAAATGCAATGCAAATGTTAATGTAAATACGTACGCAAACGCGGATGCAGGTGTAAACGCAAATGAAAAGTAAATGCAAATGCAAATGTATCATAATTGCAAAATCAGTTGCCAATCCAAATGCAAATATTAATGCAGATGCAAATGCAAATGTAAGTGCTAATGCAAGTGCAAAAACAAAGGCCACAACTAACGTAACTACAAACGCAAAAGCATACGTGATTGCAAACGCGGATGCGAATGTAAATGCAATCGCAAATGCAAATGCGTATGCAAATGCGTATGCAAACGTAGATGAAAACGCAGAGGCAAACACAAATGCAAAGGCAAATATCAATATAAATGCAAACGCAAAAGCAAAAGTTACTGCAAACGCGGAAGCAAATGTAAAATCAAGCGCTGTAAATACAACGCTGTTACTTCAAATGCAAACGCAAACGCGAATGCAAACGTAATTCCAAATGTATTTTAAAGGCGATAGCAAGTGCAAATGTAAATGCAAAATTAATTGCAAATGCAAATGCGATTATAAATGCAGACCCAAATGCAAATATAAGTGCAAAAGTAAAGGCATAGATCGCAAACGCGGATGCGAATATAAATTCAATCGCATATGCAAATGCAAACGCAAATGCACATGCAAAGGTAAATATAAATGAAAATGCAGATGCAAACACAAATGCAAAGGCAAATGTTAATGTAAATGCAAACGCATATGCAAAAGTAGCCGCAAACGCGAAAGTAAATGTAATAGCAAGCGCAAATGTAAACACAAATACAAAGGCAAATGCAAATGCAAACGCCAATGTAAATGCAAATGCAAACGCCAATGCAAACGCGGATGTAAATGTGAATGCAAACGCAAATGTAAATGCAAATATGGAAATGTATGCAAATGTAAATGCATAACGCAAATCCAAGTGCAAATGCAACTGCAAATGTAAATGTAAAAGCCTAAGCAAATGTAAATGCAAAACAAAAGCAGTTAAGCATGAAAAGCATGAAAAAGCGAATGCAAATGCAAATGAAAAATGTAAATATGAATAAAATCGCATATGCATTTACTTTTGCAGTCAAGTTTGCGTCTACATTTGCATTTGCATTCGAGCTCGTAGTTACATTCGCATTTGCTTTCTCACTTACATATTTATTTGTATTTGCCTACGCACTTGCGTTTGCATACATATATGCACGTAAATTTTTTACGAACGTCAATTTTGATCGAACCTGAATTTTGAACGAAAGTTTGCTTTAACATTTGCGTATGCATTTGCGTTCGTATTTTCATTTACATTAACGTTTGCGTTTGCATGTACATTAACATTTGTTTTTGCATTTGTATTTTCATTTGCGATTTTATTTACATTTGCATTTGCATTTGCGTTTTCATTAACAATTGCATTTATCTTCGCGTTCGCGTTTGAATTTGCATTTGCGTTATGCGTTTGCATTTATATTTGCAGTTGCATCTTCAGTTGAATTTACATTTTGCGTTTACGTTTGTGTTTGCGTTTAGAATTGCGCTTGCGTTCGTATGTATATTTGTATTTGCCTTTTAGTTTTGCATTTATGTTTGCGTTTACATTTGCAGTTGCACTTACATCTGCATTTGCATCCATTAGCGTTTGCATTTACATTCGCATTTGCATTTGTATTTGGTTTTGCATTTATATTAGCATTTGCGTTTGCAGTTAATTTTGCATTCGCCCTTGTATTTATATTTACATTTGCGATCGCATTTAAAATCGCATTTGCTATTTTACCTACATTTGCATTTGCATTTGCGTTTGCTTATGCGCTTGCATTATGTAATATGCATTAATGTTCGCATTTGCATGTGCTTTTGTGTTTGCATTTGCATTAGCAATTACTTTCGCATTCGCTCTTGAATTTACGTTGGCATTTGCATCTGCATTTAAGATAAATTTATTACATTTGAAATTATATTAGCATTTGCGTTTGCGTTTGCATTTGCATTTACATTTGCAGTCACTTTTGATTCTACATTTGCATCTACATTTGTATTTGCACCTGCATTCGCGTTCGTATTCACATTTACATTAACGTTTGCATTTAGGTTTGCGTTCGCATGTGCATTGACATTTGTGTTTGCATTTGCGATTTTATTTACATTAGCATTTGCATTCGCGTTTTTTACACGATCGTTTTTGTTTTTGCATTTTTCTTTGCATTCGCGTTTGAATTTACATTTGCGTTTTGCGTTTTGATTTCATTTGCAGTTGCATTTACATTTGCTTACGCGTTTACATGTACATTTGCAGTTGAATATGCGTTTTGCGTTTACGTTTGAGTTGCTTTTAGAATTGCGCTTGCGTTCGCATTTACTCTTGTATTTGCCTTTAGGTTTTGCGTTTGTGTTTACATATACATTTGCTTTTGCATTTATATTAGCTTTTGCGTTTGCGTTTGCATATGCGTTTGCGCTGGCACTTACATTTGCAGTTGCACTTGTATCTGTATTTGCATTTGCATTTGCTTTTGTATTTACATTTACTTCAGCGTTTGTCCTCGCGTTTAAATTTGCAGATGCATTTGCGTTTTTATTTTTATATACACTCACATTTGCATTTATATTTGCGTTTATATCCGCATTCACATTTGCAATCGCGCTCGCAAGCACATTTACATTTGAGTTTGCAATTACGTTGGCTATAGCATGGGCGTTTGCATTTGTATTTGCATTGGCATTTGCAATTGCTATCACGTTTGATTTACTTTTGCGTGTATATTTGCATTTACATTTGCTTTGTGTTTGCATTTACATTTGCATTTGCTTTGGCATTTGCTTTTGAATTCATATTTGCATTTATATCCGCATTCACATTTGCAATCGCGCTCGCAAGCACATTTACATTTGAGTTTGCAATTACGTTGGCTGTAGCATGGGCGTTTGCATTTGTATTTGCCTTGGCATTTGCAATTGCCTTCACGTTTGATTTACATTTGCGTGTATATTTGCATTTACATTTGCTTTGTGTTTGCATTTACATTTGCATTTGCTTTGGCATTTGCTTTCGCATTTATATATGCATTTACATCTGCACTTGCTTCTACATTTACTTCCGCGTTTGCAATTATTTTTGCATTTGCGTTTGCATTTACATTAACATTTGCATTTTGCATTTGTGTTTGCATCTGCATTTTCATCAAGCAGACGTTTGCATTTTTTATTTTAATTTGCGTTTGCATTTTTATTCCCATTTGCATTTGCATATGCGATCGCGTTTACATTGGCATTTGCAGTTGTAGTTACGTTTGATTTCCATTTGCATTCTTTTTTGCATTTTCATTTGCATTGTGCTAGCATTTATATTCGCATTTGTTCCGGCATTCAAATTTTAGTTTGGATCTGATCTTTATCTATGTTTGCCTTTGTATTCACACTCGCATTGGCATTTGCGTTCGCTTATGAACTTGCATTGGCATTTGCATTCTGTTTGCAACTGCGTTTCCATCCACATTTGCATTTGCGTTCACATTTGCATTTGCGATTGCACTCGCATCCGCGTTTGTGTCTGCATTTACATTGCATTGTCGTTTTCATCTTCATTTGCATCAGCGTTTGCAGGAACATTTACGTCCGCGTTTGTAGTTGCGTCAGCTGTTGCATATGCGCTTGCATTTGCAATTGCGTATGTATTTCCATATATATTTGCATTCGCGTTTGAGATTGCATTTAAATTAACATTTGCCTTTCCACTATGTTTGAAACTGAGTCTACATTTGCATTTACGTTTGCATTTAAATTTAGAAATGCTTTTGCACTTACATTTGCATTTGTGTTTGCATTTACACCCGCAATTGCATTGCAGTTTGCGTTTACATCTGCATCTACGTTTGCATTTACTTTTGCCTTAGCGTTTGCGTTTACATTAACATTTGTCTTCGCATTCGTGTTTGCATTTGCATGTCATATACATTTGCATTTGCATTTGCATTTGCTTTTGCACTTGCATTTGCATTCATATTCGCATATGCGTCTGCTTTTATATTTGATTTGCGCTAGCAATTACTTTTGTCTTGGTCTCGGTCTTGGTCTCGGTCTCGGTCTCCTCGGTCTCGGTCTTGGTCTCCTCGGTCTCGGTCTTGGTCTCGGTCTTGGTCTTGGTCTTGGTC